ATCGAGACAAACATTTTGATAGTTATTCCATTCAAATTTGACATCTCTACACCAAGTTATTAATCAAAAATTAAAAAAAAATTTAATAGACAGCAGGTATTATGTTACACTGATTCAAATATTTTTTCCACTCCCAAATATTTGGGATGCCAAAAATAATTTAGGATGTCAAAAATAATTTGGGATGCCAAAATTAATTTGGGATACCAAAATTAATTTGGAACGTCAAAAATAATTTGGAACGCCAAAAATAATTTGGGATGTCAAAATTAATTTGGAACGCCAAAATTAATTTGAGATGCCAAAATTAATTTGGAACACCAAAAATAATTTGGGATGCCAAAAATAATTTGGATTTGGGATTTGGGATTGGAATTTGGAATTTGGGATTTGGGATTTTGAAAAATAATTTGGGTGGCAGGTATAAACTAGACCAAATACAAGTTTAACTGTAAGCTCCTCCTCAAGTTTCTTTTTTCTCAGAAATACAGAAATATATGATGATGACAATGAAGAATATATTTCACTTTTAACATCCCGTCAACGTTCCTTGGATGACCCAAAACAAGACCTTGAGAATGACGAAAAGGATACCACAAGTGTTTCTAGAGGTAGACATAAAGTAACAGTACGATTGCTCCCACCTTATAATTTTGAATATTTTGTCTATCTAAGGCCACAACATCGGGTGTTTGTTAATTTACCTGTACATTACGATGCAAATTTTTCAAAATCAATAAACCTTTTTCTCTTTTTTTTTACTAACAATATGTTAGACATGATAGTTACGAATACAAATCTGTATTCATTGTCAAAAAATGCTGATGGTGCTGGAAGGCAGTGGCAAAATATAACTTGTAAAGAGCTAATTATTTGGATTGTATTGATAATCTACCAGGGACTTTTTAAACTACCTTCAATAAATCAATACTGGAATGAGGATACGAAGCTTCCAATCCACGCTATTTCGAAACAAATGTCGTTAAAATGCTATGAGCAAATTAAAAGGTATCTGTACGTCTCTTCTTCCACAGCTACAATTAACAATTACTTCAAAAAACTGGAACCATTACTCTCAAAAATTCGGAATGTATCAAAACAACTTTACACCTCAAGTTCAAATGTTTTGGTGGATGAAATGATAGTACGATTTTTTGGAAGGAGTGTTCATATGGTTAAGATAAAGAACAAACCAACTCCCGAGGGTTTCAAGATCTTGTTACTTTGCGAATCAGGATATACGTATACTTTTTTGCCCATGTCGCGTGTCTCTCCAAATGATATACCAAAGGTGAATAGCCTTAATCAGGTTAGTTGTCTAGTCTACCACCTCATTACACAACTTCTATATCACTACTTTTCATACAACATCTATATGAATAACTATTTTTCTAATGTCTCTCTATTTCAAACTCTCCAGCTAATAGACATCGGTGCTTGCGGAACCGTCCGTAAAATAGTCTTGGGATTCTCCAAAAAATTAAGAATGGATAAAGGCACCAAATTAGATTGGAATGTTTGTTCCGGTATCGTGGTAAATGGGATATTAGTTATTTTTTAACAAGATAATGGACCAGTCACAATGTTATCAACGGTTCACGGTCTTATTGGTGAGGAATGGGAGGTAGAATGTAACAGACATCAGCTGAGAGAGACGAGCACAAATGCAGCAAAGGTTTTTTTTTCTTCATTTAATTCAAATTTTTTATTTTTTTTTTTTATTATTTTTATCATATTTATTTATTTATTTTTAATTAATTAATTAAAGGTACATGTGGTTTTTGGTACCGAATCAAAAAAAATTTTAAAAATTCCTAAAATAATTGATGATTACAATCACCACATGAATAGCGTGGATATTGTGGACCAATTGCGTCATATTACAATATGCAACAAATAGTACGGAGGAACTGAATGTCTCTTTTTTTTTGGTTGTTGGATACTGCAATAATTAATAGCTATCAGATCACCCGGATTATACTTGCACACAAAATTATTTTGGAGCCCCGAAATTGCAATTTTGGAGAAAAAAGTTGAAATAGTTTTTTATAGAAGACGAAATTATTTTACTTAAAACCCGAAATTTTTTGACCACCCAGATTTATTCTTTGATTAAAGATACATATAACTAGGTACTTTTTTTACTTCCATATATAGAATAGATTTTGCATAAATTTCAAAAAGTCGAAATACCTCAAAAATCCAAAATCAATTTTGGAAACATGTATAACCCGGATGTTAGGATCGACACAAGAACAAAAGGAATTTTGCCATGAAATTGTCTGGGACCTTGTTGACTTTGCGAATGATATCACAGAAGTTCAATTAAGAGCTAGTCTGAGGAGAGAAACAAGAGATGAAAAAAAAAAGGAGATCAAATGGCCGAAGGTGACAAAAAACTTTTAACTTTCGAATCAACGACTTGTGCCTGAAAACCATTTGGCAGAGTAGAAAGAGCAACGGGAAGCATGCCAATGGTGTACTTGGTTGGCAAGCAAAAAAAAATTTGATATGGATCGTAAAATGCCATATCAAAGTCAATTTTGGTGTTTAACATGTAATGTGTCTCTCTGCTGTAACAACAATCGAAATTGTTTTCGCGATTTTCATGCCCAAAATTAAAAAATTAATTGTTTCTTATATTGGAGGTAAAGAACTTAAATGAATTAAAAAAAATTTTTTTTTTAAATCAAATTATTGTAATTAAAATAATTGTAAATATGCAAGTTCATCTTTAATAAAAATATAATTTTTTTTTTCGATCATAATTTATTTATTATTTATTAATAGAAGTAATTGTAAATACATAAACTTAATATTTAAATTGCATAATCAATTTAGTTGTCCAATTTCTTTAATAACATAAAATTTTAATATGAATGGATATCCATATTGCATAATAATTTTTGTTCGTTTAGATATAAAGTTTATGATATAAACTTCTCAAACAATTTCCAATGGGTTCGTCACTTAAAGTATCACATAGCCGAAGTGTAGCAAATATTACATAACTCAAGTTCGTAACTATTTTTTAAATCACACTATACATGCCATAATGTGACTTAATAATTTCCATGTGACCTGACTTTTCAAGAATTGGCCTAGTTAGTTTAAGTTAGTTTTTAAATAGAAAAATTTTTTATTGGACCAAATTTTTTTCAAATTTTTTTAGCAGGCAAATTTGCCTGCTAAAAAGGATGGTTTAAGGAATAAACATGTAAATATATTTTTTTGAATTTTTATTGGCTAAAATTGCATCATGTGATAGTTATATAAATCAAGAAAATTGAGAAATTTTTTTTTTTATAAATGGATTTCTCCAAATGTATATATTCAAATGCTATAATGTAAAAGAAATCTGAACATTGGATTAGATTTTATTAAATATTTTCTAAGATCCTATTATAGAGGTTCCACTATACATGTTTCCAAAATTGATTTCTGATTTTTGGGATATTTCGTCTTTTTGAGATTTACTCAGAATCTATTTTATATATGGAAGTAAAAAAAATACCTAGTTAAGTATATCTTTAATCAAGGAATTTATCTGGGTGGTCAAAAAATTTTGGGTTTTAAGTAAAATAATTTCATCTTTTATGAAAAACTATTTTGACTTTTTTTTCCAAAATTGCAATTTTAGGGCCTCAAAATAATTTTGCATGCAAGTATAGGTTCCACAATATGTAAATAATTTTGGTGACTAATATTGGGTAATAATTAAAAAAAATAATAAATATATCAGAAACCCGATTATTATAAATGACTGATAGATCCTCAACTATAGTTATAATTATTCAATTAATTAAGTTAATTATTTTTATTAAAAAAAAAAAAAGTATGAACAATCAATAAACTATTTATTTAAAATTTGAATTCCAAGCAAAAAAAAAAATATGTGTATATATGAGTATGATAGAGATATATAAATTTACAGCATGGGGATGATTTAAATAATAAAAAAATAAAAAATTTAAGATAAAAATTTTGCAAGTCTATCAACAACACTTCCCATGCTTGGTCTCTGATAGATTATAAATAAGAAGCATAATTAATATAATAATGTGATAATATAATATGATAATAATATAATAATATTTACCTTATTAGATTCTTTTTGCCACATTTCGGTAACCAAGTCAAGTAATAATTGTGGATGCTTCAATAATGAATCTATTGGAGGTCGAATTCCTCTATCTCTCACTAAAATAAAATTTTTTTTTAAAAAAAGGAAAGAAATTAAATTACAACAACAACAATAATTACAACAATTACAATTACAATTATAATAATTATAAAAAAATAAAATAAATAAATATTTAATCAAACCTGCTTCATATAATTGATGTTCAGAAAAATTTTGATAGGGATAACCTCGTTCATTCCAAGTCATAATTTCCCAAAATATCAAACCGCATGCATATACCTATTATATTATTATATTATTATATTATTATATATATCATTATTCAGTAATTATTCAATATATAGATGGATATATAAAATGGATATATATACATCAACTTTTTCTGTATAACTTGGATTTGACTGCCAAAATTCAGGTGCTATATCAATATGAACAAAAAATTAATATTATTAACAAACTTAATGATAATAATAATTCATGATGATAGTAAAAATATATTTACCTTGCCAATTTGGAGTACCACATTGTGTATGTATGCTAGCATTTGCTTTTGGACGAATACGAGCCAAACCAAAGTCATTGATTTTTGCCCGCAAGTCAGATGTTATCTATTATTATTATTATTATTATTAATTAATCATAAATATATTTATAATTACATAATTTATTAATTAATCAATTTTTAATTATAATAATTTATTAAAAAAATTTTTACCAATATATTCATAGATTTTAAATCCTAAATTAAATTTAAGCCATATATAGGTAAAATAAAAGTCAATGTGAGCACATATGTATATATATATGTATGTAGATAGATATATAGATATATAAAAGTCAATATAAGAAAATCGAAAAACCTACTCGATGAATAATACTTGGGCGACGTGTATGTAAATAAGTGACACCTAAAGAAATATCATGCATGAACATAATCTAAAAATAAATAAAAAATCACAACATTAGAATAAAAGAGAATAAAAGAGAATGAAAGCGAGTGAGAAAACAGCAAAAGAATAAAAAAAAAAACCAAACCAAACCAAACCTGTCGACTAAAATCAGGTATTGGAACCTTTCTCATATAATCAAACAAATCACCATTCTCACATAATTCTGTAACTATACATAAATGTTTGGTATGAGTACATACGCCCACAAATCTTACTATATTTTCATGTCGTAATTGTCTAATAATAATAATAATAATAATAATAATAATAAAAGAATAATAAAAGATAAATAAAAATGACAGTAAATAATTAATTTATAATTTAATTTAATCCATAATTTTTTTTTTAATTACTTTAGAACATTAATTTCGTGTTTAATTTCTTTTAAATCAGATTCACTGAAATTTGTTACACGTAATTCTCCAATAGCCACTGGTTCCTAAATAATAATATTTTTGTTGTTACTAAAAATAATAATAATAAATAATAATAATAATAATAATAATAATAATAATAATAATAAAATAATAAATAATAATAAATAATAAATAATAAATAAATAATAATAAATAAATAATAATAAATAAATAATAATAAATAATTACTCCTCTATATTTTCCAGCATAACAATCTTTAAATCCACCTGCACCTAATTTCCTTCCTAGTTCCAATTCATCATATCGAATTTCACTATTTATATCATCATCATCCAGGAATAATGATGTCATATACACTGAATTGACTTTAGTGTTCCTTGAATCATTTAGTCCATCATTCGAGAACAAACGTGGAGTCGAAGGTGCTGGAATTGGGCGAGTATTTTGTTTCTATGAATAATAATAATAACAATAATAACAATAATAATAATAATAATATTTTATTAATTTATAATTAATAATAACAATAATAATAATAATAATAATAATAATAATAATAATAATAATAATAATAATAATAATAATAATAATA